GGGGGGGTGATACTTTACTACACTGGATTATAACTTCTACATTAATTTAGATCAAGTTGTTATTGTTTAAAGCAAAGTTCTGGTCCTGGACCCTAACTAATGGCTCCCTGGGTCCAGTGAGAATGTTCAGTTTCCAGATTTAAAGACTTTCTATCAACAGGTAGAAATGAGAGATGATTTAAATTGTTATTGATTTAACAGCTGCTGGTTCTAGATCTTTTTTTGAACTCTGGATCCTATGATTGGAGGAAAGACAGACATCTCAAAGACCCGAACCCAATGAATCCCAGTCCCAACCAAACCACCATGTTTCTGTGGTTTCAGGACCAGTTTGATAATCTCGAGAAGCATACCAGCTGGGGCATTGACTTCCTGGAAAGATACACCAAGTTTGTGAAAGAGCGAGCTGACATAGAGCTGAGCTACGCCAAGCAGATCCGGTAGGCTTGTCCCTCCTTGGACACCTACAGATGCGTCCTACCTGTCCCCTCTGTTCACCAACCCATCTGTCTGTCTGCAGGAGCCTCTCCAAAAAGTACCACCCAAAGCGGAGCAGAGAAGAGGAGAGCAGGTCAGTAGAGTATAACCCATAAAGAACAGGGAAATGAACCGAGCCACTGAGTCCCGCCACATGTTCACATCTCCATCTCTCACCTCAAAGCAGTCAGCTGAATGAAAGGGTGAAACGTCATCAGTGACGTCAGGCGATCCAGCTCCACCAACTGCTCGACTATAACTACCCTATTAAGGTTAAAGTGAGCATCGAAGCATCGGGTTGGAGCTTCCACCAGTAATTTGTGTGGGAGTGTTGACCTAGTGGTTACAGCAGTGCCTTATGCTCTGAGAAGGTTGCAAGTACCCGGTTCGATCCCCACAGCCTCCACTCTGCGTCCCTGAGCAGGACCATAACCCCACACTGCTCCCCGGGCGCCGCACAATGGCAGACCACTGCTCCTTAAGGGGAGGGGTTAAATATAGAGTTTACCCATCGTGGGACAATAAAGGGATTTGCATTTTTTCTATTTCCTGCAGCTACTTCAATTCAGTTCAGTTTATATCTATAGCTCCAATTCCGTAAAAGTTTAAAAATAAACCACTGGACTTGGTTTCCAAGGTTTGAAGACGTTTCGCTTCCTCTCCAGGAAGCTTTCTCAATTCAAATGTCTGGATCCGCAGTGAGTTTGAGGTTTATATAGACAAGGCCTTGTATTGCTTGGAAACATGCAAATTGGTTTCCAAGGTTGGTTTCAAACCTCGGAAACCAAGTTCAGTGGATTGTTTTTAAACTTAATGACTGAGGATCTTCATCAGGATAGAGCTCCAATTAGCATCATGTAATCTCAAAGCACTTTACAGAGAAAATTAAACCAGATCATCCGGTCAGACTGGTTCAAAGTTTTCTATCTAAGGAAAACCAGCTGATTGCATCGACACATCGACTCACACAGCAATCCCTCACACTAAGCATGCTTGTTTTTTCTTCACATTCTATGCCGTATGTCAGCACAAGATCCAAAGTATGA